TCAAACTTAAGTCACTATGGGCCCTTTTTCTTCTGTATTTAGGATATCTGATGGGTCTCTCCCATGGGGATGATAATAAAATGTACCATTGACAGAGCTGTGCTGGGCCAGACACTTACACATACTGTCTTATTTGACTTAGTTTTCTCTTCTATCCTACAAAGTGGATATGACTCCCATTTTATAGTGTTATATAGTAAACCAAAAGCCCAGAGAGGTTTAGAATCTTTTCTGGTCATTCAGCAGTGAAGTGAAAGAACCAGGATTAGAACAGAAGTAGCTGGCCCCAAAGCATGAGTTTAGCAACACTAAATGGCCCTTCCTGGGCAGTCACCTGTCCATGTGGGATATCAGTCATTTGTATAAAGCTTGTATGCTTGCTTATTTATTTATTTATTTATTGTTTTGTGGTACGTGCCCCTAGCGGGAACTGAACCCGGGACTCTCTGGTCCGCAGGTCGACACTCAACCGCTGAACCAAATTGGCCAGGGCTATTTATTTATTTTTTAATCCTCACCTAAGGATACTTTCTCAAATATCTTCAGATCAAGTGGGAGGGGGAGAGACAGACAGACAGACACATCGATGTGAGAAGGACACGTTGATTGACTGCCTTCCACACAACCCCAACCAGGGCCAGGGACAAACCGCAAAGGAGGTACGTGCCCTTGGCTGGAATTGAACTCCAGAATCCTTGGTATATAGGCCGACACTCTAACCACTGAGCCAAACTGGCCAGGGCAAGCTTTTTTATTTTTTATTGCCAGATTTGTTGCCTGTAGTTGTTTCTGTTGCAAAGTGGCCAGATAAGTTCCCCTTCTGAACCTGTTTGAATGGAGCCAGGGAAGATGCACCCTGCAGTGGGCCACCAGAAATTATCTGTGTTCCAATCATTTACCTATCTGAAAACACTCAGAAAACTTTCAGGAGACCAAGGGAATGAACACCAGGGTTATTGGAGATGCACATACCCAGAGAAGTCACAGTCTTACCCTGTTTGCCCTGAGATATATTCTTCCAGGCTGGGCAGCTGCCCCTCCATCCAAAGAGCACCTGTGGAGTGTAAGTGCAGCCTGCATGGCCATGGAATAGAGGCCTAAATGTGCCCAATGTTCAAGATGATCTTCAACAAGAAGAGTAAACATATAAGATCTGTGTGCTGACCACATTGACAAGGCCTGGCCCTGCCTGTCAGTTTTCTGTTTAGTGATCATTGCCTCTCCCCATCCACCGGGCCTTTGTGTATAGCAGCCCCCACCTCGCATTCAGTGGCTAGAGCAGTATGAGTAGGAGAGGGACCATAGTAGGCAAAGAGATTTAAAAGAAAATTTTGGCCTGGGGCAGTGTGACTCAGTGGTTAGAGTGTCGGTCCACATACCAAAAGGCCACAGGTTTGATTCCCAGTCAAGGTCACATACCTGGGTTGCAGGTTCAGTCCCTAGCCACGGTCAGGGCGCATGCAGGAAGCAACCAATCCATGTGTCTCTCTCACATGGATGTGTGTGTATGTGTGTTGTCTCTCTCTCTCTCCTCTCTTCACTCTCCTCTCTTTCCTCTCCTCTCTCCCTCCTCTCCCCCTTCTCCCCCTCCCTTCCTTCCTTCCACTTTCTAAAAATCAATGGAAAAAATATCCTCAGCTGAGGACTAACAAAAAAAATTTGAAGCCGTGAACAGACCATGTATGGTCCTGTGGATAGATCACTGTAAAGACTTTGGCTTTTTATTTCGAATGAGATGAGAAGCCATCACAGGGTTTTACGCAAAGCAGATATATAATCTGATCCATCTTAAGTTTTTTTGTTTGTTTGTTTGTTTGTTTGTTTTAATCCTCACCTGAGAATATTTTTCCATTAATTTTCAGATAGATAGGGAGGGAGGGAGAGAGAAAGAAACATCAGTGTGAGAGAAACATATCCATTGGTTGCCTCCTGCATGACCCCAACCGGGGCTGGGAATCGAGTTGCAACCCAGGTATGTGCTCTTGACTGGAATCAAACCCAAGACTCTTTGGTCCACAGGCTAATGCTCTAACCGCTGAGCCAAACTGGCCAGGGCCATCTTAAGTTTTAAGAGAATTACCTTGACTTCTTTATTGAGAAGAAATTGAGGGAGACCAGTTAAGCTGCCATTGAAATAATGCAGGCAAAAAACAGTGGTGACTTGGCCTGGCCCATGTGTCTTGATTGAGCATCGTCCCATGCACCAAAAGATTGCTGGTTTGATTCCCAGTCAGGGCACATGCCCAGGCTTCCCCAGTAGAGGGCATGCAGGAGGCAGCCAATCAATGTTTCTCTGGAAAAAAATTAATAAAAACATTTAAAAACAAACAGAAACAGTGGTGACTTAGATGAGGAAGGTGGCGGTGGTGGTAGTGAGAAGTAGATTCTGAATATAGTTTGAAGACTAAGTGAACAGGATTTACTGATGATTGAAAGTGGGATATGACAGCCTTAGCTGGTGTGGTTCAGTTGGTTGGAGCATCATCCCATACACTGAAAGGCGATGGGTCAGGACACATAACCCAGGTTGCATGTGGGTTGGGGTGGGTGCAGGAGGCAACTGATCCATGTTTCTCTGTGTGTGTGTGTCTCTGTCTCTCTCTCAAATCAGTGAAAAGCATATTCTCTGGAGAATTAGAAAGAAGAAAGTGGGATGTGAGAGATGACTCCAGTGACTTTGGCTTGAGAAACTGGGTGAATGGAGTTGCCATCAACTGAGATGAGGAAGACCTGGGGAGGGGAGTATCGACAGCCCAGTTTTGGATTCCACCCCAAACTTAGCCCTCCACTCTGAATGTCTTTGTGAGTGACACTGCCGACTATCCAGTTTCCCACATTGTAGATCCTGTGTATCCCCTCCAGCCCGTTCCTGGTATGCATACAGGACTTTAGGAATCTGAACTCTTGGCTCTTTTCTACATCAGTGCCTTTGCGCATGCAGTTTCCTCTTTTTAGATATCCTTTTCCCCCTTATACTCCCAGGATCATCACGCCCCTGTGAAGCCTTCTCTGATCCTGCCATTTGCACCTGTGTGTCTTGTCCATACCACTTCTGGGCTTTGTGTTTTATTGAAGGGTATTAGTATAGGACTACTTTCTAATTGAACCACCCCAAGCTCACAGGAGTACCCCAGGTGTTGTTAGTGTCTTATGGCTGCTCATACCCTCATGAACTCTTCATTTTAAAACATGGAGGAATGTTGATCTTTTCCATTTCTTCATAGGGAAATAAGCGGCTCAGTCTCGGGCTCTCCTTGAGTTTTGTCTAGCTTTGCTTTACTTTCTGAGTGCCTTCCAGTGTTAGCGGACTCAGAATGGGTGTGACAGCAGAAAAGACGTTTTCACTCCTTTTCCCCTCTTAATTGTAGCCAAGCATTTTCTGGCTTTTTCACTACACCAACTTATTGAACCATTGTTTTTAAAAAACAATCTGCAGCCCTGGCCAGTTTGGCTCAGCGGTTAGAGCGTCGGCCTGTGGTACAGAGAGACCCGGGTTCGGTTCCCGCTAAGGGCACGTACCTCGGTTGCAGTTTGTCCCCGGCCCTGGTTGGTCGTGCGGGTGGCAACCACTCGATGTGTCCCTTCACATCGATGTTTCTCTCTCTCTCGCTTCCTCTCTCTCCCTCCCGCTCTGTCTGAACAAAAAATGCAAAAATGTCCTCGGGTGAGGATTAAAAAAAAAAAAAAAAAAAAAATCTGCAGGGAATCTTAGGGCCCCTTCTGCAGTTACACCTGAGAGTGCAAAGCCCGTCCCCTAAAATACAGATATTTTTGCTCCAAGCTAGTGATCTAATAAATGCAGAAAGGTACATAGGCATGTCTAAGAAACATGTTTTACCTCTCCAGCCCACTTATATTAAGCAGTGTTCTCCAGAGAAACAGAACCAGTAGGATGTGGGGGGCGGGGGGGTAGAGATTTATTTTAAGGACTTGGCTCAGTCTGACCGGTATGGCTCAGTGGTTGAGCATCAGCCCATGCTCCAAGAGGTCGCCGGTTCGATTCCTAGTCAGGACATATGCCTGGGTTGTGGGCCACATCCTCAGTGGGGAGCATGCAGGAAGTGGCCAATCAATGTTGTCTCTCATCAATGTTTCTATCTCTCTCTAAAAAAATAAATAAAGGAGAGGAAAGAAAAGGACTTGGCTCATGTGATTGTAGGAGCTGACAAATCTGAAATCCACAGGGCAGGACAACAGTATGGAAATCCCAGCAAGAGTTGATACAGACTTGAGTCTGAGGCAGTCTGGAAGCAGAATTCCTCTTCAGGGAAGCTCAGTCTTTTTTCTGAAGCTCTTTAACTGACTAGGTGAGGGCCACCCACATTAGGGAGGGTAATCTATTCTACTCAAAGTCTACTGGTTTAAATGTCAATCACATATAAAAACTACCTTCCCAGCAATGTCCAGAAATATTTGATGGGCACCATAGCCTAACCAAGTTGATACTTAAAATTACATAGTACCACCTCTACTTCCTGCTCCTGGTTTGTGCTTTGCTCTACTCCTTTAATTTCCCTTAAGAACTTACTCCTCTTTTTCCAGCCCATAACTCTTTCTCCAGTCCCAGTCACTGGGTACCATTTTCATCCAAGCGGAGTCACCTTTCTCTTGTCCCAGGCCACCATCTGGTCTCATAAGCGGCTTTCCTGAGTTTGTCTGCCTTTTTTTTTTTTTTTTTTAATATACAGGAATCTTTTCTTTTTTTTTTTTTTATCCTTTATTGATTTTAGAGAGAGAGGAAGGGAAAGGGAGAGAGAGGTAGAAACATCGATGAGAGCGAACATCGACTGGCCGCCTCCTGCATACCTCCCACTGGGGATTTGGCTCTCAACCTGGGCATGTGTCCTGACCAGGAATTGAACCGGCGACTTCCTGGTACATGGGTCAATGCTCAACTGCTGAGCCACACTGGCTGGACCATCTGCCTTTAAGAAATACATTTTCCACCCCAATGTAAATCCCTTGGAACTTTGAGGTTTCCTGTTGTGCTTTATTCTCAGGCATTGGGAAGAATGTGGTTTGTGAGAAGGCAGCAACCTCGGTGGATGCCTTCCGGATGGTGACAGCCTCACGCTACTACCCACAGCTGATGAGCCTGGTGGGGAATGTGCTGCGCTTTCTGCCTGCCTTTGTGCGCATGAAGCAGCTGATCGCCGAGCACTACGTGGGTGCAGTGATGATCTGCGATGCCCGCATCTACTCAGGCAGTCTGCTTAGCCCTAACTATGGCTGGATCTGCGATGAGCTCATGGGCGGTGGGGGCCTGCACACCATGGGCACCTACATTGTGGACCTGCTGACCCACCTGACTGGCCAAAGAGCTGAAAAAGTCCATGGGCTCCTCAAGACCTTTGTGAGGCAGAATGCGGCCATTCATGGCATCCGGCATGTCACCAGTGATGACTTCTGTTTCTTCCAGATGCTCATGGGTGGGGGGGTGTGCAGCACAGTAACACTCAACTTCAACATGCCAGGTGCCTTTGTGCACGAGGTCATGGTGGTGGGCTCTGCAGGACGTCTTGTTGCCCGGGGAGCTGACCTCTATGGACAGAAGAACTCTGCCACACAAGAGGAGCTGCTACTGAGGGACTCGTTAGCTGTGGGTGCAGGACTGTCTGAGCAGGGGCCCCAGGATGTCCCACTGCTCTACCTAAAGGGTATGGTCTACATGGTGCAGGCCTTGCGCCAGTCCTTCCAGGGGCAGGGGGACCGCCGCACATGGGACTACACCCCTGTCTCCATGGCTGCCTCATTTGAGGATGGGTTGTACATGCAGAGTGTCGTGGATGCCATCAAAAGGTCCAGCCGATCCGGGGAATGGGAGGCTGTGGAGGTGCTGACACAGGAACCCGATGCCAACCAGAACCTGTGTGAGGCGCTCCAGCGGAATAACCTATGAGCTTGCACGTGGGCTCCCTGCCACAGGCAAAGGGGCCAGGGAGGGTCAGGTCAAGATGGGAGGGCTTGGCTGTAGCATAGACAGTGTCTTTCATTTAACAAGTCAACTTGTGCAGGGTCTAGGTGAAGTCCAAGGTGGCCTTGGTAAAATTCCCCCTCCAGCACTCATTTACTCCTCAGATTTGTAGGGCGGTGATGCTCCCCTGTTGCTATGGTTGAGTGGTCTAGCATAATGTGCAACAGGCAGAGCTGCTGCCAGGTCTCTGTGTCATTAATGCTAATGAGCAGGGCCAGCAAAAGCTTGACTTGGGGGCTTCAGACTATTTGTGGTCCTAAGTGGATGGGAAAGCATAGCAAGGAGCCGGTTTAGCTGATTCCTCAGGCCTGAGGAGAAATGACAAGAACCCTGTTTCCGTGCCTTTCTTGGGCTTAAGGCATCTCACGAATGGTGAGGATAGCAAGTCATCCCTCTGGGATCCACACCTGCCTGCCCACCCTCCCATGCGACCAGGCCCTTTTGGCTTTCAGGCTGCCCCTTCCCTGGCCAGGAGGAGGGGTCCTTCATTAGGTGAGCTCTCAGTGGACTGTTTTCTAGAGCAGAGGGCTCCTGATTTGGCAGACAGGAGACAGGGGAGAGTTCTGAAACATCCGATAAATGTTAATAAATCAAACTCTAACACTATGGCATGTGGTTGTTGGCTCTTTCCACTCTATCTGAACAAAAAATGGAAAAATGTCCTTGGTTGAAGATAAAAAAAATAAATAATGGAAGGCTTGTTTATTGTTGTACATGGTTTATATTTTCCTCTTTCCTGTTGTCTCCACAGCAGCTTTGACCTCTGCATCCATCAGTGTCTGGTGGGCCACAGGCTCCTGTCACCACTTGCCCTCATCTCCCAGTTTCTTCCCTCCCCTCATCACCATATCCCAGGAGCCCTCCAAAGAAAATCCTTTCCTTAGAAAACAGGATTAGCCCTGGCTGGTTTGGCTCAGCGATTAGAGCATCGGCCCGCGAACTGGAGAGTCCCAGGTTCAGTTCCCACTAAGGCATGTACCTCGGTTGCAGTTTGTCCCCAACCCCAGCCCTGGTTGGGGTCGTGAGTGGCAACCAATCGATGTGTGTCTCTCTCGCATAGATGTTTCTCTTTTCCTGCCTCTCTCCCCTCCTTCTCTCCCTCCGCTTTATCTCAAGATAGATGCAAAAATGTCCTCCGGTGAGGATTTAAAAAAAAAGAAAATAGTACTCAAGACTTTCTGGTGGGGCCCTGCCAGGCCTTCTGGTCCAGGGAGACAGTGGGAGAGTTTGGGTCATCCCTGGCTGCAAGATGTGTTGAAACTGTGAAGTTGGCTCCAGGGGAACCCTAGGAGGGGGCAGGTGGAGAATGGTCCCAACAAGGCTGGACAGGATGAACTTGAGGAGGAAGGCCCTACACACTTCCCCTCAAGAGTGGGTATGGCCACACACTGACTGGCCCAGCCAGCCAGTCACCAAACATTCATTAACTGTTCTATACAAAGATAGCCTTCAGCCATGTGTGGGGTGGGGTGGTGGGAAAGGACACGTGTAGTCTTTTGTTTCCACTGCCAGGCTGCCAGGATTAAGCCTGGACCAAACTTCCCTTCTCTAACTTGAACTCTCTTCCCTGCCCTGGGCTCCTTGCCAGAAAGAGAAAGACTCAGGGAGAGCTCAATCTTCCTCTTGGCAACCCTTATAAAAGTTGTCAGGCCTCTTTTCCTTTATTGCCCATCTACTTTTATGAGGGCCCCAGGTCCGTTAGCACTCCCCAGAATCCAGGTCCATGGCCATCCCTTAATCATCTTTATCATATATTTCTTGGGTTTGCCCCAGGGAGGAGATGTAACTTGAAGTGGCCCAGATGCCTGTGGTCAAGGAAGCCCGCAGTGTTTTGGTCCCCAGGGGTAACTGAACCTACAACTGGTTACAGGCTTGTCCTGTACTGCCCCCTCCTGGAGGAAGGCAGCATCACCTAGAACCTGTGTCCCAAACCTCAGGATCTTAGGTCAAAGTAAATCAAGTTTTTCCATGCCAGCAAAAGTGCAGTCAACTTTTCTCTCTATTACAGCAACCAGAAGAGAACTTCCAAAATACCTGTTGCTCATTTCCCAATCCCCAGCCAAACAAACCCAAGCCTCATACCTAGACAATGACAGCAGTCTCCTCACCTCAATGTCCTATTTCTCCCTTTCTCCTTCTGTGCTTAACACTGCTGCCCAAGAACCTCCAAAATGTCAGGCCAACATTTTGCCTGCATTCCTGCTTATCACTCCCAGACTTACCCAACCTGGTCTCATGGCCATGCCTCTGCTTCAGTCATGCTAAGTGGCCCTCCTGCATGCGGCTGACATCTTCCATACTAACAAGGTTTCATCCTTAGCATATCCTCTGCCTGGAATGCTGCCCAACTCTCCAGGAGTCAGCTGGAGGACTCTTCACTACATTCGTCCCTTGTTTATCACGGTTCAGTTCCAGACTCTAGCGGTTGCACCTGGTGTTGAAGGATTCCTGGGATGCTCAAATACATAGGCCTGCAGTCCATACGTACTTTAATTTTAATTGTAATACAGGGGTGTATAATTGACTCAGACAACTAAGCACGCACTGTATCATTTTCACTGTCTCGATCAACTTTTTAATGAATATATTTGAAAAAAAACACAATGGAGTGAAGTTGTGAAAGTCGAAGTGCGAAGTGGTGAGGGACGGCTGTACTTCCTAGTGACATAGTGACAATCACCCCCACCAACTGTGAGCCTTAGCTCTTCATAGCATGTGTCTCCTTGCATCGTGCTGCTTCTGCATTTCTCCCTTAGAGTGAGCTTCTAGTAGTAGTGATGACCTACTCTTTTCTGTGGCTACTCTCACCCACCCTGCTTAGAAAAGCCTGTCAGGTAATAGGCCTCAGGAATTGTAGACAGGTTTTTTTTCTAATGTGGTTACTATTTCCTACATTACCTATTGGAAAATAGGAACAGAGCTTCCTTATCAGTGCTGGCCTGATACATACCTCCAGCCCTGGAGACCACACAGCAAAAACAAATGCTTGACCTTCTTGGGTCAGGCCTTAGCCAGAGAGCCCCAGGGTCCTTAGATCTGCAGGGCTCAGGAAAGGGTGGAGCCTCCTTGGGGCCCAGGGTGTGGTCTCATAATAGGCCATTTCTTTCCAGGCCTCTACTTCCTCAACCATAAAGTGAGGAGGTCAAGCTCTGTTATCTCTAAAAAATCCCAGAGAATCTATGTTCATCCCTGTGGACAATATTCAGTCTGCATGGTCCCTGTGGACAGTGTTTTCTGGGGTGGTCAAATCACTACCCAGGGAAAAGTATAGGCAGAAAGAATAAATGTCCTGACCCCACAGCTTGTCCTGTGTCCTTGCCATGGGGCCAGTGAGCATCCAAGTGATCTCTAAAGGAGGGGGTAGTCTGGCTCGATGCCCATTTTCTTCTTCCACTGGGGCCTGCCCACCCTATCCCTTCCAGTGACATTGCCAGGCCACTACTCCAGGGGTCCCACATATGGCTGTGGACTTCGGACAGCCTCAGCTTTTTGGATCCTAATCTGTCCCTTTGTAGCTTCCTCAGCTTTCCATCTTGTTCTCCTCATCTTGATGCCTTTTATGGGAATCCTCTGCTAGGTCGTTGTGATGCAATGACAAAAGCCCTTGGGGAGTTCACAGTCTAGTCCTGAAGACAGTTAATAACCACAAGGACAGTAGTAGGTGGGTACTACAATGCAGGGCATTGCCAGGGAAAAAGGTGCTCTGAGTCCTCAAGGGTCTGTGTGCACTAGCCAAGAGATGGGGTGAGAGAATAAAAGCATTTTAGGCAGTGGAAGCCCCACATGCAGAGAGTGAAGGTATAGCTGGTCAGGGAATGACAGGAAACCACTGAAAGGCCACAAAGCAGCGGGGTAAGAGGAGCAGAGTGCTAGAAGGGGAGCAACACCATCAGGGGTTCTGTGTGTATGTAGCGGAATCATCATCCTTCTCTGTACCGCAGACCGACGCTCCAACCGCTGAGCCAAACCGGCCAGGGCGGAATCATCCTCCTTAATGCCTGATTAGCTTATAAGAGTCAACGAGCAAAGAACAGGGTGGGATCTGAGGTGACACCCAGGATTTTGGCTCGAACAATTGTGTAGATGAGATACAGGAGGAAAAGCAGGTTGGAGGGAGGAGAAATTATTAATTTAATTTTATATTTCCTGTGTTTATGGTGTCAGAATAACCTGCAGGAGGACCAGGAAGCAGCAGGATATGAGGGTTTCCAAAATGACCAGCACTGGCCGACTCTTCCCAGAGAGCCCTGAGAGTGAGAAGCAGCAGTCATCTGGTGGCTTGGCCACAAGGCTCCAGAGAGACCATTCACCACCACCACCATCCCCTACCTGCCAGGAAAAAGGCATTGATCCTGTCACCAGGGACCACTCTGGGGGCAAAATCTGGTCCAGCTGTGGTCTAACAATAAAGCCTTCCAAAGCTGCCAGTCTTGGGGCAGGCAAATGTACTCTGCCACCTCAGAGGGAGTATCCCAAATGTTGGTCCCCTCAAGGTCAGATCAAATGCAAGCCCCTTCCCTGGGAGACAGGAGCAAGGCCAAACACCTGCTACCCATGTCCTAACAATCCCTGCCTTTCTCTGCCACAAGTTCCTCATCACCTCCCTCTCCATCCTCACCGTTATCCTGTCTAATCTTCAAGTTTATTTGAGGAGACTTTAAATGCACAGAAGTAGGTCCCACCCCTGCAGGCTGATTCAGCTGGATCTGAGGTAGTGCCCAGGAATTGATACTTTCATCAAGTTTCTGGGTGATCCAGAGGACCAGTCAACGCTTCAAACCCTGCACTAGGGAATCCTCCACCCTTCCCAGGCTCTCCCTCCTCAGGCATCTTATTTGGGGAGTCAAGGTCTGAGAAAAGGAAAAACATTTATTTTCAGCAAGTCCTAGGTGCCAACTGGGGGCAGGGGCTGAATTCCCCCTTCACCTGGGGGCTGAAGCCCATAGGCTGCTGCTCTGGTTCAGGCTTAGGAGGAGAGGAGCCACCCATAGGATGAGACAGTCACTTGTACTGAGGAGAGAGTGGGGGTACAAGTGGGGCAGCACAGACACTTAGCATCTTGTTGATGTCCACCTGAGTTGTCTTATCCATCTCAGTCTTGAGGAGGCCGCTGACCCCCAAGCTGGGCAAACTCCCAGGCTCCTCTCCAGCCTCCTCTCCAAGGGGAATCAGAGCATGGGTGGGAGACACAAACATACTGGGGCAGGGCAAAGTGAGGCCTGAGCCCAGCTCACCTGCCACAGGCAGCAAGGCCGGCAGTTGTTCCACACATGCCTCTTCGGGGACCAGGGTCAGCTCTGACTCAGGTTCCACCTCAGCCTCAGCCTCCCTATCCCCTTCCTGGTTCAGCTCAGGGTTGCAATAGTTGATGTACTGGTACAAGGGCCGTAGGCGCTGGGCCTTTCCTGCAAGGGGCAGAGCAGGGGCTGGAGCGCCAAGTTGTGCCATATCAGGAGTCCAGCAGGCAGGGGGAAAAGGAAGGCCCAGGGACTGCCACTCACGCTCCAGCCCCAAGGTCTCTGAGGGTGTAGACACTGTGCTGGCCACAGCTGGGAGCACTAGGGCCCCCAGACTCTTGCGTTTCTTGGCTTTTTTGTGCTGTTTGGCAGACAGTGAGGGCTCACTCTGTCTACCCTCCAGGTCCTCCCTCTGCAGCGGCAGCCCCTGGGGCAGCTCAGCTTCAGCCCTAAGATGGGCTTGGTGGCTAGGCCCTGGAAGGCTGGGAGACAGGAGGCTTGAGGAGGCAGCCTCCAGCCTTGGTTCATATACCCTGAGCCTAGGGAATAGCTCTGCATGCTCACCGCCCTAGGCCCAGATTCTTGAACCTTTCCTGGTCAGTGAGGCCCCAGGCTGGACAAGGGCTGAGAGCTCATGTGAGCTCAGTCCCCTATAAGGCCTTGAGATTCCCTCTCAGGGACAGAAGGGGTTGAGGAGTGGTGGTGGTAGCAGGGGATCGGATGCACCCTGCAGGAGTGCAGGATTAGAAATCCTCTTGGGGCAGGACACCCCCACCCACCCCACCCCACCAGCCCTTCTGCTCCTTCCCTCTGAAAGCCTCCTCACTTGACTGGCTTCCTCTTAGGACCATGACTGGACCTCACAATGGAGGCCATAGGCCTGAGGCCTCTCTCCTCTAGTGCCTCCACCTCTGGCTTGAGTTTCTGTTCCTCCAGCTTGAGTTGTTCCTCCAGGAGCTCTGGCTTTGAGACTGGTCCTATTGGACACTTATCTTCACCCTGGGTCCTGCAGGCCTCATGGGCTGACACCAGGCCCTGGTTTCCCATCACTGGACTCTAGAGGTGACACATAGGTAACTGATCACCATAGCCAGATAAAGGATACAGAAATCAGTCATTAGACACCAAATACGGATGAAGGGCACCAACCCATGCCCCTATCCACCTGTGAAGCCTGTCCTGGCAGTTAGGGGCTCAACCCACAGAGTTTGGCCTCCTAGAGGGCCGAAGCCAAGAGTTTAAAGACTAAACACCCCTGAGGTTCACCTCAGAGCTCTGAGTGTGGCCACTGGGCACCTCTGAAAGTCGTGCAAGCACTTCCACCACCTCATCTTGGGCCCCTAGTCCCTTCTCCGCCTCTGCTGAGGTCATGGCTGCGAGGAGTCAGCGCATCCTAGATGGTTGCTGGGGGGTTGGAGTCGGGGCGGAGACGTGCCCTGAGGGACCACACAGGTGTTCCCCGGGAAATTAGCCCAGAGGCAAGGGCCGGGGTGGGAAGGAAGACTAGCGACCGCTCAACTCCACCCTGAACTGGAACTACAAGCCCCAGAAGACTTTGCGCCAGGGGTATTGGCCCCTGACCTCAGAGACGGAAATTATTGTTGCTAGACAACAGCAAACCTGTCGGGTGGCAGCTGCGGGCAGCAGAAAACTGCTTTGGTGAGACCCCAGCCCCGGTCTTGTGGGGAGGGGCCGTGAACGGATCAGGGAAGTGGGCTAGGAGCGGAGGAAACTAGTGCAGTCCCGGGACCAGGAATAGGGGGCACGGCCGGGGTCAAGGTCCGGTCCAGGGAGTAGGCACGGGGCTGAGGAAGGAGGTCCAAGACCCCAGATACACAGCCTGGCAGGTCTTGGTGCACTGTTACAGAGCGACGACGACGGCAGCATGTGCGAGGGCCCTTCTCGCATTTCGGGGCCCATCCCCCCAGACCCTACGTTCTGTCCTGACTCCTACCGACGACCCACCTCAGGTGAGTTGAGGGATGCCGAGGCCCGAGCAAGGCTTGGGTCCCGCTCCACCACTGAACCCCGCACCTCTGCCCCATCCGACCCCTCAGCCCAAGGGCGCCTTGAGGGAAACGCGCTGAAGCTGGACCTGCTGACTTCCGACCCGGACCTGGACGCCACTTTGCCCCTCGGCCCCTGCATCCGTCCCGGAGCCAGAGCGATCCTGGAACGTGGCCGTTGCGACGTTGAGGGCGTGCTGCTACAACTTGGGGGTATTTCCCTAGGCCCAGGGCCCTCTCCCAAGAGTAAGTTCTGGACAGAAGGGGCAGAGAGGCAAATCTGAGATTAAAAAACTGCTGCTCCTCCTGCCCTGACCTGGGTTGCATCTCTGAGTGTCAATTTCCCTACTATATAAAAAGGAAGAGGAGCCCTGGGCGGTTTGGTTCAGCGGTTAGAGCGTCGGCCTCCGGATCAGAGTCCGGGTTCGGTTTCCGCTAAGGGCACATACCTCGGTTGCAGTTCGTCCCCAGTCCCGGTTGGGGTCTTGTGGGTGGCAGCCAGTCGATGTGTCTCACTGACACCGATGTTTCTCTCTCTCTTCCCTCCTCTCTCCCTCCCTCTCTAACTGAAGATAAATGCAGAAGTGTCCTCCTGTGAGGATAAAGAGAGAGAGAGAGAAAAAAAAAAGGCCCTGGCCGGTTTGGTTTAGGGGTTAGAGCGGCGGCCTGTGGTCCAGAGAGACCCGGGTTCGGTTCCCGCTAAGGGCATGGACCTTGGTTGCAGTTTGTCCCCGCCCCGGTTGGGGTTGTGTGGGTGCCAACCAGACGATGTGTCTCTCTCACATCGATGTTTCTCTCTCTCTCTCTTCCCCCCTTTCTCCCTCCTGCTCTATAAAAGAAAGAAAAAGAAAAAAAAAGGGAAGGAGAAATGCACTATTTTCTCACACGAGAGGACTGAATGAAGTAGTCCCCAGCTCAGCATGAATTCATGTAGCAAGGAAACGGTGGTTGTTGTTGTCTGTTTTGTTTTTGTTAATTCTCACCAGAGGATATTTTTCCATTGATTTTTAGAGAGAGTGGGAGGGAAGGAGAGAAAGAGAAACATTGATGTGAGAGACACATTGATTGGTTGCCTCCCACACAACCCCGACTGGGAACTGGAGCCAGGCATCAAACCTGCAACCCAGGTAGTTCCCTTCACCAGAATCAATCCGGAGACCCTTCAGTCCCTGGACCGATGCTTGAACCACTGAGCCAAACTGGCTAGGGCAAAACATTTGTTTAGTGCCTACTGTGTGCCAGGCCCAAAAGATGCTATGAAAGCAGGTTGAAGACAAACATGGGCCATCATTAAGTCAAGGTGGGAAACAATAAACAAGTGAAATGAATATTATGTGCAAAATGATTAATGGTATACTTCACAATAAAAATGTAGAAAATAATCAGGAATAGAAGAAGATAATTACCATGTCAGGAAGGAAACAAGATGGTGAGGTCGAGTATCCATATAGGGTCTAACTTGGAGAGATCAGGCCTGTTTGTGAACTAGTATGAATTGGATGGCATGGGTTATAAGTAAGGCAGAGCCTGGCAACATCTTTTTTCAGGAAAGGACCCTAAAGACCATGAGAAGGAGAACCTGAGGAGGATCAAGGAGATCCAGAAGCACTTCCGTGAGCAGGAGCGCAGCCGGGAACAGGGCCAGCCCAGGCCCCTGAAGGCTCTGTGGCGCTCACCTAAGTATGACAAAGTTGAGTCCCGAGTCAAGGCCCAGCTGCAGGTACCTGCCTCAGGGAGCCAGAAGTATTGTCCATCTTATTTGCCAAGAGGCAATTATATTCTGATCTGAGTTATGGGAAGGGAGGAAAATCACAGAGGACTAAGGTAACAGGATACAGAGATAGCTCATTCTGCTGCAGGGGATTCTCAGAAGTGGTGATGGCTGAGGGGCAAGTAGGAATTAGGCAAGGAGAGAAGATAGAAGTCCTAAGATTGGAGGGAGTGTGGGCAGTGGGGATATTGTGTACAGTTTACTGTAAGGGGGTAAGAGCATGAGGGTAGGCTAAGAAGTCAGCTGGACCTATATAAACGGCCACGTAACACACTTTTCAATCTTTATTTCTAAGAGCAGTGGGAAGGTCAGGGACGGGGGTATGGTGGTGGGATTCTGTCTTGAGTAGATGGTGGCATCATTTCTCTATCAAGGGGTCTCAGAAAGAAGAGCAGAATTGAGAGAAAAGACAATAAGATTACATATGGATGTGTTGAAGCTGCAGCATTTGTGGGACTCCTAGGTGGTGGGAGTGTGTCCAGGAAGCAGATGGAGAATCAGGTCTGGATCTCAGAAGTGAGACACAGGAATTATTGAGGATCAGGCTGAGACCAGGGAAATGACCCTGGAGTTGAGGTCTTGGAGGCCAGCTGTCAGTGACCTTGATGGGGACATGTCCAGGAAGCTTGGCTAGGAAGGAGAGAAAAAGAATGGTAGCTGGAGCCAGGACTGAGGTAGGAAGGATTGTTTGTTGTTAAGGATGTGAGACATGTTTAAATGCTGATGAGAAGTGCTCCTTCAAGAGGGAAGAAGTCCATAGAGCTGGGGATAGAGGCTCAGTTTTGAGACCTTGACCACAAACTACTTATCCCTCTTTTATGCTCTGCCCTCCAGGAGCCTGGCCCTACCTCTGGGACAGATACTGCACACTTCCTGCGGGCACACTCTCGCTGTGGCCCTGGACTCCCACCACCCCGTGTCCACAGTCCCCAGCTAAATCCACCAGATCCCAATGCCAAGGTGAGAGTATGTATGGACTAGGAGGTGGGGCAAAGATCCTGGGGGGGTTCTGGGGCACAACACAGTGCTGTCTTCCCATCACGCTTGCCATGTCCTGCAGGGACCAGGCCTGGGTGTGGACTTCATTAGCCACAATGCCCGCACTGCCAAGAGGGCCCCCCGGCAGCATTCCCGCTCGCTGCAGGTCCTGGCACAGGTGTTGGAACAGAAACGGCAAGCCCAGGAGCACTACAATGCCACACAGAAGGGTCATGTGCCCCATTAGTAGGTCCCACTGCCCAGCACCTGGGGTGAGGGGTACCTGTGGCTGGTGGGAGCCAACACCTGCCCTGGGATCATCAACCCTGAGCCTGTGCATCCACAGCTTATTGGAGCGTAGGGATCTGTGGCGACGAGAGGCTGAGGCCCGCCAACATAGCCAGCCGGACCCTGCCATGCCCCCTGGCCACGCTTGCATGCCTGAGAACCAACGTCTGGAGACACTGAGCAATCTGCTCCAGAGTGAGTATGTGGGCAAGGGGGACTGGATGAGGGACCCACTGAGAACCATGCACCCCTGCCTAACACTAACTGTTCCTGGGCTCCCTGTAGGCCAGAGCCAGCTGCTTCGTGAATTGGTGCTGCTGCCTGCTGGGGCAGACTCACTGAGAGCCCAGGGCCACCGTGCTGAGCTGGACCGGAAGCTGGTGCAGGTAGAGGAAGCCATCAAGATCTTTTCCCGCCCCAAGGTCTTCGTGAAGATGGATGTTTGAGCCCTTTTATAGGGGTAGTAATAGAGGTCCTTGCTGAGGATTGCTTCATGGTTGCAAAGGACAGGGTCAGGCCCCATCATAGAGTCCAAAGACTGGAGCAGTGAGGGGACAGTATCCCCAGAGCACTTTTCCTCGTCACTAGTAGCTTCAGAAGGGTCATCCTAGCATAGCCTCTTAACCCCTTTGTCAAAATTAAACTTTTTGTACACAGTGGGATTTGTTTCCATAAGAGTTTTTCTTACCCTAGAAATTCCAAGCCTGGTGACCCTCCTTGACTGCAGAAAGATCTCTCTGCTGCCCTTACTAGTCTTGCCTCATGTCCACGACAAAAGGCAAGATGGTGGGATCAAGGAGGAGGCTGGGACTGGGACACAGAAGGACCATAACTGCATTTGTAGAAAACCTTTAATGTTCCCAAGACTGAGTGGGCCCTGTGAGCAAGCTAAAACCCCCACTGGGGAAGTCCCCTGGAGTGGCAAGGGGCTGCTTCCTTGTGTGTCAGAGGCTGAAGCCACTACCATCTCCTCGCATGCCACTCCCCCAGCCAGAGCTGGCTTGCTCCTTATCATCCAGGGATGGCAGAGAGCTGCGGGCACTTGGAAGTAGGCGGCCTGGGTGCAGGTCCCAGCATGGAGGAGGCCCCTGAGACAGCCCATTAGAACAGGGAGGCTGGCGGTTCTCAATGACCAGATCACTACTGTCATCATCACTATCAGGCTCAGCAGGCCCAGGCCCAGCAGAGGAAGGCCCTGTCAGACGCCCAGATGCCCCACGCACCACATTATTACGCTGATTGGCTGGCTTGACAGTGACAACGAGGTTGTGACTGTTGGCGACCATCATGTCTGTCACTTGGTCCAAGGTCTTCCCAGCCACCTCAATGCCATTGACTTCGAGGATCTCATCACTGACTGCCAGCAGCCCTGTACTTTCAGCCAAACCCCCTCGTACCAGGCGGGAGATGAAGATGCCTGGGACCCGTTCCAGGCCCTGGGGAGCTACACGCATGCTCATGCCATCTCGGATGTAGAAACCTAGGGGGCGGTCAGAACCATGCTTGTGCAGCCGCACCCGTCGGTGGGTCTCAGGCAGTAGGTCCACATCTATGACTGAAGAAACCTGGCGGAAATCTTGGGGCAGGCTGATTAGGAGGGGTGGCCGGGTGCGCAGAGGTGCCACCGGCCGAAGTAGGAGCCCTTTCTTACGCCGCTGCAGAGAGTTGGAGGCAAAGGCCAGGCCACTGGAGTCAGCTTCTGCTGCAGGAGAGGGGAGGCACTGAGATCAGAGACCCTGCTCTCTCATTTGGGCCCTTATCCATCAGGCCCAGGTGAGCTTAAAAGGGACACTGTAGCTCTTTCCTAGCACCTGGAGGTCAGGCCAAGGGCAGGGGTTGCAGAGGGTAAAGCCTGGGCACCCTGGGCACCCTGGGCATGAACTAATCCCTGTAGACCTACCCTATCACCATATCCCACAGAGGCTGCCCAATGTACCCCATTCTCCTCACCCCGCTTCTGCACTAGCAGGCGCAGTGGAGGGGGCCCACTGGCCAGGGCCCGGTGCAGGCTGTCGTCGTTGGTGAGGGGCAGTAGGTCGCCGTGGGCATCTGTATAGCCAAGCAGCACGTCCAGGCCCGGGATCTGATGCACCACACGCAGTAACCTGGAGAACTCTTGGAAGCCGCTCACTGAAGCGCGAGGCAGCGCGAAGCGTCGGAACTCGGCGTCAAACTGGAGGCAGGGAGTAGGGATAGAGAAGGAGTCAGGACGGTGCCTGCGTCCTTTCTCAACACAGGTCCGAGGGTGGCAGGAGTGGGAAAGCGGGCTGCTGCAACAGCTGCAGCCTTGTGCCCAGACCTCAGCTCCAGTACAAGGGACGCTGTCCAAGGTCTTTTCCCCGCCCTCCAGGTAACCCAGGCCACAGAGGGACTCTAGAGGCCAGGAGTGAAAGGAAGAAGGATGGGTGCAGGAAAGCAAGAAGAAAAGCCGGAGAATGGGACGTGGAGGATAGAGGAGAGAAAAAGGTGGTGGGACCAAGGAGCCAGGAAGGGGAAAATGAGGAAATTGGAAGCACCTAGTGCCAAAGCTGGAGCTAGAACTGGAGGGGCCCTTACTTTGCTCTTCACCTCCACGATGCTGTCGGGACTGCGCGCCGTGTTTCTCTGTGGCCTGGCCATGGCGGGGCCAGGCGGGCCCGGGACGGAGCACCAGGCGGCCCGCCGAGGCGCAGGTGCACAGCCCGGCCACCCGGCCGGCCCGCGCCACCCCGCCCCTGGCGGTAGCACTCGCCCCGCCCTCCCATCCAGACCCTGACGTCAAAGGGCCTGCTACGGAGAAGGGAACGCGGAGTCCCGTTTCCTAGGAAACGGTGATGGGCTAGAGACGTCTTCCTGTGCTCTTACGTCATTACGCCACGGTCCGTGCGTTCCTGGAGGCCCGGGGAGGGGCTCGGCCAATCCGAGGGGAGAGTGATGGACGTGATATTTATTGAGTGCTGTGTAATATTCCTACTGGCCTTAGAAGACTGCTAATTTTGTAGATAAGGAAACTGGGTTATTATATTTGGTGACTCCTTCGGGGTCACACAGCATTGAAGTGGCTCGAGCCAATTCGCTCTTACTACCCTAGGCCGCAGCCTCAAGCCCCCGATTCCTCCCTCTCCATCTGAGCCAGCCCTTAGCCCCTTCCTGCCTGGTGCCAAAGGAGTTTTGACGAACGGCCCCAAAACGGGGCTGCTGCTTGGAGAGATGAGCATTCAGTCAACCCAAAAGGAATGTGCACGAAGTTCCCAAACAGTATGCACTCGTGCGCATGCGCTGGCATGCCCATGGGCGGGGCCTCGACCTCAGGTCCCGCCCCGCAGCCGCGCGTTTCCTCTTCCGACAAAAAGCGTGGCCGCAGCGCCCGCAGAAATCCTGGGCTGGTGGTGCTCCTTAAATTTAGCAACGGGAATGGCAAGTTTGAGGAGCGTGGTACTACGGCCCTGGTTTCGAGAGCTGGTACTGGGGTCAGAGAGGCTCTCAAGTCCACGGGCCGGGCAATTGCTCCAGGTGAGTGCTCCCCAACCCCCTCAGGGCCCGGAGACCAGGGTGGGACCCCAAGGTGGTGGGACTGACGCTCGGCACCGTTGTCAGGTGCTGCAGGAGGCCGGGGTCCCAGGCCCGTCCCAGGCCCCTGATACGTCTGATGTCGGAGCCGCGCTGCTTGTGTCCGACGGGACCCACAGTGTCCGATGCCTGGTGACGAGGGAAGCCCTGAACGCCTCGGACTGGTGAGAAAGGCACCTCGGGGTCGTAGAAGATTTGAGCCCAGTGTGGAGTTTGAGGCTTGAGCCCGAGGTGGGCGGGCCCCAGGAGGGCGGGACTGTGTTCCCGCGGGCTAGATAAGCTGTGAGGATCCTGCTCTCCGCAGGGAAGAGAAGGAGTTTGGCTTCCGAGGGGCTGAAGGCCGGCTGCTGCTGCTGCAAGACTGCGAGGTCCGAGTCCAAGTGGCAGAGGGCAGCTCTGTGAGTGGTGAGGCTGGCTTGGGCGGGTTACTGGGCCTGACTATGACAGCCCCTGAGACCCGTCCCCAAACTCACTCACCCCTCTAGCCTGCGGAGTTCTACCTCCAGGTGCACCGCTTCAGCCTAATGCCCACAGAGCAGCCCCGAGATTGGGTGACTGGTTGGTAAGTGATGCCTCCACCCTCCACTGTTCTCCCTAACTAGGCCTGGCTGGAGTTGGCATAGGCCTTTTGGGTGGGAGGGCTTGGGCCTCTAATAACATTGACTGCTTATCACCATCTTTTTCTAGCAACCAGGACCCAGATGTGCAGAAAAAGCTCAAAGACTGCCTGGAGTGAGTCTGGGGTTGGGCTCGGGATTGGTGTGGCTTAGTCAGAGGATGGCAAATATGTTGACAGGCCTCAGGATTGTTCCTTAGGCCTGTCACCTCTGTTTACATAGGGAACACCTCTCAGAGTCCACATCCTCCAATGCAGGTATTTGTAGGGGTTGACCCTAACTCTCTGTAGAGTCTCTCCAGCTATCACCTTCTGCTCCTTCAATAAGTCTTCTTTCCCATCCACACTACCCTTCCTCCTCTTTGAGCTTCAGCCCCATCCCCTGCCCCTCTGACCCCAGGCCTTTCACTGTCCCAACTTCTGGATGAGGTGCAAGAAGAACAGGAGCATCAGGGGGCACTAGTGCGCCTGGCTGAGAGCTGCCTGATGTTGTCAGGCCCTTGTACAGCACCCCCACTCACCCGATGGGCCACCTCAAGCCACTTGGCCATGGTCAGTCTGGGGTTCCCTTGGAAAATGTCAGGGTGAGGGAGTTGGGCAAGGTCCAGGCTAACAGGTCACTTCCACAGGGAGAAGCTGTGTATACTGTCCCCAGCCCATGGCTGCACATCTCTGAGAATGACCAGCAAATCCTGAACTCTCTGAGCCCTGGTCAGAGGACACAGGGTAAGGAACACTAGAGAGGTCCAGAGGGCAATATCCAGGGGCCTGGTGCCTACAGTGCTAATAAACCTTTCCTGACCCCTAGGCCCTGAGCTGCCCCCACCAGACCCAGCTTCTTTTCAGGAGCTATCGCTGACCCTGTCCTCCTCTCCTTCCTCACTCAGTTCCTCAGGTAAGGTGGTGCTGAAGCTACAAACACTTAACTTCCTGGGCTACTCAGGATGCTATGAAAAATAAACACGGTCCCTGGAGGCCTGCCTAAGATCATAGGCCACTCAGCTGGTCTGAGCTGAGAGGGCTATGCTCACAGTGAGTTCCTTCCTCCCCAGGAACACCTGCATTACCCAGCCACACGTCGTCAGAGGAAAGTGGTACCGGTGTCAATCTTCTGCCTACCCTGTCCTTGGCTGCTCCAGACACAAGGCAAAAGGGCAGCTTCCAGTCCCGACCAGCCATCTGCTCAGCCTTTGGCGCCCTGCCCCCTCATTCCCTACACCCCAGTCATGTACCCAACTTCCCACTCCTGAGTTGTATTCCAAGTATGTCACCTCTTGGTCACATCCCCAATCCACATCAGGCCCATGTGACTAGCCCCCAGCCCCAGAAATCTAGACTGGAGTTCAAGGAGCTAGAATTGCCACCCAAGAACTGGCAGCATTCTCCAAGGATAGGAACCACCAAGGGAGTCCTCGAGTCCAATCCTGTCTGGGTGAGCATAGTCCCCCTACATTTGGAAGGTAGTAAGTGGTAAGCCTTTGATAGAGCTGGGAGAGGGTACTGGGATAGTCTTGGATGGGGTTAGGGGTCTTTGTTGGCCCCTCTCCAGACACCACATCCTCTTTAGGACCCCCCAAAGAAGCACCGTGACAGTTCCACTTTCCAATATGCCTATGACCCACCTTGTACTTCCCTCTGTGCCCAGGTCCAAGCTGCCAGGTGAGTGCCTAGGGCTGCTCCACTCTTGGTCACCAGTCCAAGTTTTCATTGACCTACAGCTTTGGTTCTCTTCCCAGGCTCCCTCCCCAGCTCCTGGCCTGGGCCTTGCATTTTCTGATGGAGCCACAGCCAGAATCTGAGCAAACCCAGGTGTGAGGAGTCATATGACCACATGGGAGAATGTGTGCATACAGGTCCATGCCTGTGGGTGGACAAACAGTGCTCCACACTCTGCTTCCTTTGATTTTTTTAATAAAAATAATCTCATGCGGCAGGAAAGGAATGGGTCAGGGGTTGGGTCCGCTGCCTCTTTGGTCTGTGGCTGGGGAGGGTGGGCTCTGCCCAGGGCTGGAGAGCTCTGTATACTGTGGGAGCAGAGGCTCAGCTCCAAGGCCAGATCCTGCAAAAGAAGAGGGGGAGAGAAGATCAGATTAGACTGAGTAGTCCTGCTACCCTAACAACCAATCGCTGCAGCCCCTTCTTACCTAGACTTGGTGACAGGGGTGCCTCAAGCTTTGGCTTTCTCTTGAGGACAGGGGAACGCTGTAGCCGTAAAGGCCGTTCTGAGGGACACAAAGGCATGTGGTGGGTGGTTAAGGGCTTGCTGCTGTCCCCAACCCTCCACCCCCAGTGTGTGCTGGCATACATGCATGCACATACACATTGTTGCCTTCAGAGCCTCTCCCTTCCCCTGTATCCTCCCACCCATGGCAGAGGTTGTTCTTTTGGAGGTGGAACCAGGGCTAGTTGGAAGGGCTGTCAAACCCTTCTGACTCCCTGATTTCTCACCCCTCACACCACCAGTGGCCCCCTCCAAAGACCAGAACCATGAAGAGAAACCTAAAGCCCACCCTTTCCCATCTCCTGCACTCAAGCATACATGGAGGTGTCTCCTCTCACCAGCAGGGGCCTGGAGCTGGTCCTCATGCACAGACACTGCTCGTCGCCCTGCTGAGAGAGGCCAAGGCCTCAGCTGGCCATCTGGGGGAGGCCAGGGTATCAGAATATGGTCCCAACAGCTGCCCCCACTCCAGCCCTTTCTACCTTCAGGGTCTTCAGAGGACCTAAATTCCCAGCAGGGACTCCTCTGATCCCCAGCCCAATGCTGATGTGGGGGTTAGTGTGCCTGTTTACCTTCATTTCTGGGGCCCAAAAAAGGATCCTCTGGGAGGCCCAGGCTGTCTGGGGAGGGACTGGCTTTTCGGGGGCTGGGACAAGGGGAAGGGGGTCCCGGACCATCCTGTTGGCCCCAACCACGGCTCCTAAGCTCTGCATTCAGCTGCTGCCCCAGTGTCTTCCAGGTGGCAGACTCAGGTCCCTGGCCCCCTGGCCCAGGCCTGCAGGAGGGATCTGCAAGGAGAAGGGTGTCAGCCAAGACCTGAGCCAGGCATTGGAAGTAAGCTTGACCTGCACATCCCCCAACACAGCCACCCTCACTCACCAGCAGACACAGAATGGGTGCGGGACTTGATAGAGATAGGAGGGGCCTCTGAGGAACTGTCCATAATGTCACCTGCAAGGTAGAACTGGGGACTCAGGCACCAGACCTTAGGGATGAGGGGAAGAAAAACCTGATCTCTCCCCTTGCATCACCAGAAGAGCAAGTCCCTTGGGGACTTATCTCTAAGGACATCCCCCTCCCTCAAATGTGCTGCCCTAGCCCAGTATCTCACCATCTGAGCCAGCCTTCTTGATCTCTCCATCTTTGCTCTGTAGGAAACAGGGAAGTCAAGCTCAGCCATGCACTGCCCTCACCCTAGCCTTGTTTTATTTATTCTTTTTCTTATAACTTCCACTAAAATGTGGGCTGGGCAACAGCATGGCAAACCCAGTCCTGGCCTTAGAGCTCAAAGTCTGAGATGGTGGACAACTAACAGACATATCCATATGCATGCACAGACACAGATAATGGTTTCTTAATTCTCTGATTCACTTTCTAATACTGTGGTTCATACTAGGGACTGTGATCAGAGTGGCAGTAGCCAGATAACCATGGAAGAGAGTCAGGGAAGACCCTCAGGAAAATGCAGGGAGGGACAATGAGGAACCTAGTGTAACCCACAGGTGGTGATGAAGGGCTGCAAGTGGGTCAGGGAGGTGCTCTAGATAAGAACATGTGCAGAGGCTGTAAGATGCAATCAGGAGTGGAGAGCAGTAAGATGAAAACAGTGACCAGGGCTGAGACCCCACAGGGTCTTGAGTCACAGGAGTCAGGGCAGTGTCTTAAGAGGAAGCACCTGGATGACTTGCTGTTTCAAATGTAGGTAACAAAGTCAGATTTCCTTTAGATATGCAGAGAAAGGGCTGTCAGCTCCAAGGAGGAAATATCAGTGGCCTGGGCCAGGGCAGAAACCAAGAGGAAAGAATGGTTGATCATTGTTTTGAAGAGGAGGGGGTGGAACTGACAGACCTGTGTGCCATGAGTCTCCTGGTCACATATGTCACCCACGACTACCACAAGGCACATGTCACTGGCCCCCTCACTTTGCACTTGTGTCCCTCCAAACTCACTTGTTTCCTCTTTCCTTCGGCACTCCCACTGCCTCTGCTCACGCCAATCCTTTGCAGCATCACTTGTACCCGCTGCTCAAAGGATGGGGCCAGCTCTGTGTCTCCTCGCTCCAGGGGCCGCCTCTGGGGAAAGGGATGCCAGAGTGGGGAGAGAGCCCAGTGCCCTCAGTTCCAGCAGAGTCCTCACCCCCATCACCAAGCCTTACCTTGTCAGGTCTGGTACCCAGTGTTGCCTCCTCCTCCTCAGCAGGTAGCAGTATCATTGAGTAGGCCTTGCTTTCTCTAGTGTAGCGAGGCCGGCTTCTTTGGGCAGGGTCAGGGCTGCTCGTGCCCCCTTCAGCTCCACCAGGCTCCTCCCCACGGCCAGGACGGGCTGGTGGCCGCAGCAGGTCCCCAAGTGTGGTTTTTCGAGTGCGGGAAGCTGCCCCAGGGCTGGTCTCTAGATCAGGCCGAGCTCCCCGGGTTGAACGAGGTTTCTTGAAGGCAAAGATGGTGCCCAGCTTCTTTCGCAGTGTACGGGGGACAGGAGTGGTACCACCCTCAGTGGCTGGGTCCTCCTCAGGGGCCCAGCTGTGGGAACAGCCAACAGTAATCAGGAAGGCCCATGGGGCAGCCCACCCTTCCCCACCCCCTGCAACTGCCCCTCACTCACAGGCGATCCTGCTGGATCAGCCTTTTGGAGAAGAATTCCTCCACGCCCTCGTCCACACGGGCACTGAGCCCATTCCCTTCCTGCGGCAAGGCTGGGGGCACCTGGGGGACATCACACAGTCAGGGGTTAGGGCTGAGTACAACTGTGACTTCTCCCCACTTCCCTTGTCCAAAAGTCTGCCCTGGGTAACTCCAGAACCTGGGAGCTGGGTGATTGATTCTAAGGGGCTGCTGACATACAAGCTCTCCCCTGTCCAGCTAGAAGGTAAATACTGATTTCACACACCCAGCCCACACCCATTCTTGTCCCATGAAGTCTACACATCTTGAACCACCTGGTCACTGGCAGGCTAGAACCTACACATCTCCTGGGTCACACATTCTCACCTGCCACCCCCTCTGCTCCAGTTTCCTGCAGTATCCCTCACCCCCACCCCCACCCCCACCTGGCCTGCTGATGCTCAGCAGCACAAGCCTGCTGCGTCAGGGGGGGGGGGGGGGGGGCGACGACTCAAGCTAGCTCCTCCTCCCCTTCTGCCCTGTGCCCACTACCCTGCCAGTACATGGCTCCACACATACATCTCCCCACACATACACCATCCAGATGTGCAGTAGACAGTATTGTCCCTGCAGTCGGGGAGCCCAGTACCTTTCAGTAACCCTGGGGGATGTTGAATAAGACAGCCACCCTCTCTTGCACATCCACCCATGCAGCAGTCCAACCTAAAGCAGGATTCTACACCCAGGTGCACCCTTAATGAAGCCCACACACCCATGACCCTGCATGGGATTACCTGGGGTAGTGGGGTGGCCAAGGAGAAGTCAGGATGTGGCCAGGTGGTTTTGGGCCCTCACAACCCACCTCCTTGCCAGCCATCATCTGTGAGGAGCAGAAGGGCCACCCACGACCCCCAATTCTACCACCTCTGGAGTGGGGGAAGGGCGCTCACCTGGGGGCCCCCAGGCGGTGGGCGGTGGTGGTGCTGGCGTCGGGGCCGTGGCCGGGCCCTGGTGGGATGGTGCAGAGGCTGCCCAGCTGGTGGCAGGTCCATGCGAGGCAGCGGGCCCGCCAGGGGCCCGGGAGCAGCGGGGCTCGGAGAGCCGCGTGCAGATGGGCCCGCCTGCGGCTCCGCATCCTCTCCAGGAGCCGCCAGCTCGGGCTCCGGTTCCTCAGCAGCACCTGAGGGGAGAGCACCAGAAGAGCACAGAGCATGGAGCTTGGGGAGGTGGCAGTGGCAGCGCTGGGGTGGAGGGGGACCCGCCCAGGGCGCGGGGAGGGGCCCGGCAACACGGCCCGCTCCCCTCCCCCCGGCAGCCCCTCCCCCGCCGTCGCTGTCCGTGGTGCTGAGCTCGGCCCCGAGAGGCGCGCGTCCGCACTGCTGCCAAGCATGCGCATCCTGGGGGTAGGGAAAATGCGGGGCAGGGAGGGAGGGTTGGCTGGTGGAGACCAGTGTCGGGACCCTGGTCTGCTCAGGTCCTGCACCAGACCACAGCAGACCCCAACCTTGCAGGGTGCACAGTGGTCCTGGCCTGGTCCAGGCAAGGGTCAGTGAGTTTCCAGGACAAAAGGGCTGAATAAATGTATCCAGGTGTTCAGGTCTATTGGAGCTTCAGCCCAAGTCAGTAACTCCCTTCCCCCTAAGCTCTGACTTACTGTGAGTGGAGGGAACCATGTGAAGACAGTGGTTGGACTCAGGCCTTTTCTGTGGAAGACTGTCATTCTGTTGGGGAGGGCACAAATTAGGCCTGGGGCGAGGGAGCTGCCTCCCTACTTTCCACACTCCAGAACAAGATGGGAAGATCTGGGGTTTCAGGCCTAGAGTTCTGGCATCACTTACCTTCTGTTCCTCTTCATCCTCCTTTTCCTTCTCCTCAGGAAATAAAAGGTCTCCTAATTTACCAGGCCCAAAGAGGGTAGGCTGGCCTTCTTCCAGGGCCAGTATGGCAGAGGGCATTGCCTCTGTTGTCTGCTGAGCCAGACTCTCCACCTGCAATACCAGGCACCGCAGAGGTGGGCAGGTAGGGCCCCAGCCATAGTCCCATTAATGCCAAAGGAACCTTAAAATATCCCTGGGCTTTATGACCCCAGAAGACATTACAGAACC